TCCTCCAACACGCCGCTCCTCCGACACGCCGCTCCTCCGACACGCCGCTCCCCCGACACGCCGCTCCTCCGACACACGCCGCTGCTCCGACACACGCCGCTGCTCCGACACACGCCGCTCCTCCGACACACGGCGCTCCTCCGACACACGCCGCTCCTCCAACACGCCGCTCTTCAGCGCTCTTGACCCTGGTTCTGAGGCAGATGTTTCCAGTGTGACTTGTCTGTCTTTGTGTCTCTAGTTGTTCGAGAGGAAGTGAAGCCAAAGTTCGTGAAGGGAGGGAAGCGTTACGGCCGTCGCTCGCAGCCCGACGCCGCGCCGACCGGCGTCACCGATAGCCCGCCTTCCAGAAGCAAGGCCGCGGCCTCGTCGCCGGGCGGCGTCCGCAGGGCCAAGGTGAGGCGCTCCACGTCGCTGGAGAGCATTGAGGTGAGACGTCCGCGATCGCTTCTCTTTCTTATTGAATCCTTTCATCCTCAGAGACGGATCCACCTTCAGCCATTGCTCTTTTTTATGCGAACGCACTTTTTCATGAATTGCTTCCACGTTCGACAATATTCGGTTTCAAATCAGATTCCATTTTTATCATCTAGAAATTCTGTGTTTCCACTCGGGCTGCAAATATTCTATATTCGAATATATATTCCAGTAGTTAAAAAAAAATCTAAATTTGAAAATTAATATTAGAATATTCAGATAGTGTAATATATTCAAATATCTGGTTGCGCATTAGACACGTCACTAACGGTACAAATGAATACAATGAGACACAACTACTTGTGTAGGTAATTTAAAGCCGATTTAACAACATTATCATTGGAAACGTAAAAGAACAGACTTTCTGGGGGAAACACAGAGTTTGCTTTGGAATTCTCATTGTTAGTTTAAATATTTTCTTCTACTATTACTACTACTTTCTAATACTTTTTCATGTATACACCGAGATTTCACAACATTTTTGGTCATGGAAATTTTGTTTGAAGTCCTGGAAATCCATTGGTCAAAATGTGTATGAACCCTGTGCTGCGTAACGAGGCGCGCACACACACACACACACACACACACACACACACACACACACACACACACACACACACACTCTGGGTCTGAATGAGCCTCTTTGTGCTGGCTGGGTTTGGTCGGTTTCACATATCAGTTTCTGCAGTGGAGGCTGTGAGTATCTGGGGGGTTCAGGAAGTGGGGTTGTGAGGAATGTGGCGGTTTGGCGCCCCGTTAGAGCAGCGCCGCTCTCTGTGGCTTCCACTGAGGTCCCACAACCTCCCTGTTTATTGAACGTGTATCTGACATGGAGAGGCCTCGCCCTGGCAGCAGGAGACTCATCTTCACGCGTTGAAGGTTCCATGTGTTCAGAGATGACCCCTAACTGACAGTAGGTCGAGAGAGGGTCAAATCTCAGAAGACCCAAAGCATCCCCAGCTTGACACCTGTCAATCAGCTTGTGGCCCCGCCCTAAAGCATGCGCCGACTCTAAATGGACCATCATTTACTAAACGAACATCATGCCTGAGACCGATACTAGTAGTAGTCATAGACTTCGTTGGGAAGTGGACTGTACTTCTCACAGAGCTTTAACACTGCATGACGTCATTCACACACGGAGCACCTGCCATCAGTAACTAACACTCACACACCCGATTGGAGGAGGGCGGCGCCCCCTGCAGGTTGCTACAGAGAAAGCAGCTGTAACTCGTGAAGCTCGCCTCGTTGTCTCCTGGTTCTCTTAGTAAATCTTGAGTTGAGATCAATGAGCGAGAACCAAAAACAGACGTGATTGGAGGATAGTGGGGAAGCCTCGACCAATGGTATCATAGCAGCTTTATTTATTTTCAATATTAAGATTCTCAGAAGGTCGCCGTCAGACTTCTGAGGGAAGGTTGAATTAGTGTTTATCTCTTTAAGTAAGTTCCTCCTCGATGGGATGATGATTGAACTGTAAAGACACGGCGAGAAGAAGCGCAGAGACTCCTTCACCTCCCTCTGGGTCAGACATGGAACCGCTCCATGAAGCAGAAATCTGTAAATACTTAACGCCATTTGATCGGTTACATAAGGCGCACACACACTCACACACTCACGCACACACATGCACACACTCTCTAACACACACACACACACACACTCTCACACACACACACAGAGACGTTTTTGACCTCCATGTTTTCTCTGCAGAGCCTGAAGACCGAAGAGGAGACAGGAAGTCGGAAGGAGAGACTCCAGTCAGACTTTCAGAGTAAAGGTACTCAGTGCTATTTGGGTTGATCAGCAGCGTATTGGTGATGCAGCTCACCTGTACTTGTAGTCGAGTATGATGACGTACTATGTGTAGTACTACAGTACAGTGTCTTGCCTGATGCCTGCAGGTCCTCAGCAGGAGTTGGATCTGGGGGTTGTTGGGAGAGATGGAGCAGGAGGTCTCCAGCAGCTCTACACAGAAGTTCTCTGTGAAGTGAGAAGCTCGTCAGTAACCGCGTCAGCGTTCAAACAGGATGTGGACGCGCTGCTCGGGAACGCCGAACTGGACGGCAGAGACTTCCAGAAGGTTCTGCGTTGCTCCGCCCCTGTGTCCTGCTCCACCCCTGTGCGGTCAGCTGACCTGCAGAGGCCGCAACCGTGGGTCAGACACTCTCTTCATTTGCTAACATGTGCATCATGCGACACTGTCCAGTGCTGCAGGGATGGGTCATTGAAGGGTCTACTGGGCCGGGGGGGGCAGGGTTCTCTGGGGCCCAATTTTACTTCTATATATCAATACGTATTTACTGAGCCTGCGATTCTCATTCGGAGACTTCTGGAGTTGAGTTAACCGTAAAGTAGCAGCTGTAGCATCTACCTGGGTTCTCTAGAACTGGAACACTCATTAATTAAACCCCACATCCAGTCGGGCCGCAACCAAAACAGACCCCTCATTTCTTCCTCTGTAAATTTAAAAATGAGTTGATGAGGAGCTCCTGAACGCACCGTGGCTCCGCCCACCAAAGGGCCAATCAGGAGGCTCGGCTGCAGCTGTCAGTCATTAGTCCAGCCATGTGTGTGGGCTCCTCAGGGAGCTTCTCTGTCAGACAGGTGGGACTCATGCTCTGTTCATCTGGGCAGGATGGACAGGATGACCTCCAGCTACACTCAGGTGAGTGGGCTTCAGATGGGTAGACCTCAGGCGGATGGACCTCAGGGGACTGGTTACTCAAGCGGGTGCTCCTCGGGTAGATGAAGCGGGTGGGCCGCGATGATGTCACTGCGATGGGCGGCTCCATCCATCTGAGCCAAAGTTTAGCCTGGATTGGAATAGTTTAGAGCTGCTGAGATGCTCTTCTAGGAAATGATGGATCAGTAGATGCAGATAGAAGAGGTTCACCTAAACGATCCAGCTGTATGAAGAGACGCAAAGGGACAAAAGGTTAAAAAGAGGTGAAGTGTATTTACTGGTTTCTCTTTAAATCCTTTTGAGAATGCTGACAGAACAAATGATTGGATTACTTTTGATCCACGGGGTAGAAAGTGTCCCCCCTTGTGTCCCCCATGGCTCCGAGTGAAGTGGGCTAATCCAGATTAAATGTGCAGCCACATGCTGCCGGGGCTCAGGCGCCCTCACCCCTGGTCTCGTGTCGTCCATGCAGCATCAGGCCGCCCTAGAGGAGCGCTCGGTTCGCTCCACCTCGCCCTCCCTGCTGGCGGCCACTGTGGGTCAGAGGGTCCTGGGCCGCCTGGACGAAGGCTCGGGATGCACCAGCCCAGAGCGGGTCGTCGCCCTCTGGACCGAGGAGGGCATCCGGAACGGTCGGGACATCCTGCAGGTCAGTACGGATCCTCTGTGTGGTCCTGATCCGTTTTATGCGAGTCTCAGGGGGCGAATCAAGGGGAACAAAGTCGTGGAGGAAAATACGGGACAAATGTGTCCTTGATGAAAAGCAGCAGTGTGGATGCACGGGGCAATAAAGTCTATGATCAATAAATAAAGCAACCAGCGACTTCCACACACAAAGACGTGACTCTCCAGGTCGTCTTCAACAGAACACGTGACTCCACCTGTTGTTCTGGAGGTGAATCGCTCTGCAACACACGCAGGACTTTACAACCAGGAAGTGAAACCAGTGCGTCGACGCGTAAAGACGCAGAAACAGGCGGCGGCCGTCAGGTTTCTCGTGGAGGAAGGAGGGCGCTGGTGTGGTCTTTCGGCTCCTAATGGTGGCGTCTTGTTTCAGACGCTGGACTTCCCACTGGAGGAGCGGCTCAGTCTAGCGGACCTGACTCTGGCTTTGGACAACGAGCTGCTGGTCAGTGGTAACGGCATCCACCAGGCGGCCCTCATCTCCTACAAGAACGAGGTGCAGCACCTGCAGTAGGTGTCCTCCTAGACCAGTGGTCCCCCACCGGGCCGCACAAAAAGAAATCGCTTTTATATTTCTCATCGTGGTGCAGGGAGTAGAGTGGCTGCTCCATGTCCTGTGCCAAAGTGTCCCTGAGCAAGACACCTAACCCCTAACTGTCCCCGGGCGCCTTTCCGGCAGCACACTTGCTTTTCAGAAAAATGTTTTATTTTGAAAATGACCGGAAAATGTGCCAAGAGGTTCTTAACGTCACAGAGCGTTATTTTGCACGTTGTACAATTGTCCTCGCTGTACTTGAGGACCGTTGTCCTAGACATGTCTGTGACAACACGTGATGTCACACGCGTGTGCGTGCAGGGTGCAGGTGGAGCAGGCCTGCAGAGAGCGGGACAAGATGAAGACCGACCTGGATCTGTCCCATCAGAGGAACCTTCAGCTGGTCAGAGAGGTGGACGAACACCACAGCAGCCTGGAGACCCTCAACCAGAGCCGGATCAGGTCGGACTGGTTCAGACTAGTCTACTGGTCTATGTACTGGTTCTAGATTGGCCAGTGAGACGGCGGTGCTGACGGGCTGCTCTGTGACCGGACAGGGACCTGGAGCAGGACTTCCGGGACAGGCTGGCGGCGGTGCGCGGCCAGGCGGAGCAGGAGAGCGAGGCTCTGGTCCAGCAAGCGGAGAGCGAGCGCCGCTCCCTGCGTGGCGAGCTACGGCTGCTTCGAGCCCAGGAGGCGGAGCTACGGGAGGAGCTCTGCGGCGCCAAACAGGTGAGCAGATGCTGTCTGTCATTCAGGGGCGGAAACCACAGGTGGAACTGCGTCAAAGTATTTCTAACCCTCTGAATTTGGGAACTGTCTGTTTTGTTATTCACCCTCAACGCTGTGTCCATCCAGGAGAAGTGGTGGATCCAGATGTTATATGGTGTAATGTAAGTGTATGGTACCAGTGACTGGTGGAGCCGTGCGACGCAGTGAGTGGCTCCGCCCCTGGTGTCAGGTGATGACCAGCAGCCAGAGGCTTGTGTTTCATACCTGTGGACGAGTAGCACACAGGCCTTCTGTGTATGTGGAGATGTTCCCACTGAAGACCTGGATGCAGCGTGTGGTCTTTAAAGTACACGCGTGTGTTGCTGTGTTCTAAGGAGAGCAGTCGGCTGGAGGAGGACCTGAGTGCAGCGAAGCTGAAGCTGACTGAAGCACAAAGCTCCGTGAGCCGTCTGCAGAGAGACGTGGACCAGCTGCTGCTGGACAAGGTGCTGAGAACAGGGAGCCTCTGCACGCAGCCTTCAGCCGCTTTCAGCTCATTTTGGTCTCTTGACCCTGTTTTTACTGTTTTCGGGGAACAGAGGAGCATTCAGCAGCTAGAGACACAGATGTTCCCCTCAGGAGGTGGTGGAGACCAAAATCAGCTAAAAGAAAGACTCCTGATGAACCTACTAGTAGTAACCTAATAGTGCTAGTTAATTATGACCTACTAACACACTGACCTTTTAACCTTAACACGTTCTTAACCTTTCAAGCTGTTAGAGACAAAGATCACATGTGTGTTCTGTTCTCTCACACACACACACGCGTGTAACGTAACTCGTCTCCTTGTAGCTGATCTATTATTGATTCTCTCCTCTGACTTCGTCTTCGCTCCGACCGATGAAGATGACTTTCGATCAGTTGATTGACAGTCAGATTAAACCAATCGGGTTGCTTCTGTGTTTGACAGCTTGGAGTTCTGGACCCGACTGGTCTGAGTCACGAGGAGCGATTCTCCCAAATGGTCAGAGACTACGAAGTGCAGTGCCGGGTAAGACACACACACACACACACACACACACACACACACCTTTATTGAGCTGTCATGTATTAGGTCGGCTCTTAATGTTCACACCAAATGTCAGGTGAAGTTTCTGCGTGAGTAGATAAATAATCAGCAATGAGATGCTTCTCATGACATCACTGCTCCAGACTCCATTCAGAAAACAAGTCATTTCAGTCTTAAAATATCAAACTCTAAATTCAGGCTTTTTCATGATGTTTTTTCTGCGTCACTTGAATCTGTTCGTTGTGACTAAATCACAGCAGGATCTGGTGACTGAGTAGAGCTCCAGTACGTCTGTCATGAATGACACTAGTTTAATTTAGCTTCCAACTTAAACTCTGAATCGGTGGATGAAGGTTGTTTCTAAGTGATAATGTTTGTAAAGGTCATGATGAGATTTACGTCTTTTTGTCTTTTTATTTTCTGAGTATAAATAAAAAAGGAGCAATGTTCAGCACTTTGACTGAGGGAGTTGTAACGCCTGATTTTGTTTGTGCCCTGAACGCCTCGTGTGGGCTCCAGAGACTGAAGGTGAGAACTTGGTGTGGTGATGTTTGATTTATTGATCTCAGTCCATAAATTACTCAATGTACATATAAATGAGCTTCTTTAATTATCAGACTCACTCTTACTACTTTTCTTTATATTCATTTGTTTTATGCCCGTTATTTAAATAAGTGTATTTGTATACGATACCACTGTAGTACACTAGTACCCCAAAGTGTATTGTAGTTGTACCGTACTGGTAAACCGTAGTTTGAGTCCCGGACAGGTTGCTGTGAGGAACACTTTTTACAGAAGGTGTGTGTTGTGTGTTGAGTTCAGGAGCTGCAGGACAGAAATGATGAGCTGAGCTCGGAACTGGAGCTGCTGAAGAGTCAGAGGAGCGACAGGAAGTCCAGACGTTCTGCTGGAGACGACGGAGCGCTGAGCTGGGCCGAACAACGACGCAGCAACGAAACCAACTGTGGTAACTCCACCACGGGGTCAATCATCTCACCACGGGGTCAATCATCTCACCACGGGGTCAATCATCTCACCACGGGGTCAATCATCTCACCACGGGGTCAATGATCTCACCACGGGGTCAATGATCTCACCACGGGTCAATGATCTCACCACGGGGTCAATGATCTCACCACGGGTCAATGATCTCACCACGGGGTCAATGATCTCACCACGGGGTCAATGATCTCACCACGGGGTCAATCATCTCACCACGGGGTGAATAGGGTCAATGATCTCACCACAGGGTCAATGATCTAACCCCGAGGTCAATAGGGTCAATGATCTAACCACGGGGTCAATCATCTCACCACGGGGTCAATAGGGTCAATGATCTCACCACAGGGTCAATGATCTAACCCCGAGGTCAATAGGGTCAATGATCTAACCACGGGGTCAATAGGGTCAATGATCTAACCACGGGGTCAATAGGGTCAATGATCTAACCACGGGGTCAATAGGGTCAATGATCTAACCACGGGGTCAATAGGGTCAATCGTCTATGAGACGATTGCAGGCGCGTTCTTCTGACAGGAGGTGGAGCCACTTGATCACAATGCTGAGCTCTGATTGGCTGTCGGGTCACCAAATGACCTCCGTTTGTTTGAACTACAGAAGAAGCAGCAGCAAAGTGTTTGTTGTTGTTTTGTAGTGTGATTGATTGATGATCAATGTTTTCACCGTTATTGATCCGTTATTAAATGTATAAATAATAATAATCTTCACAGTAGAGGAAGTGACACCAACTCCACCAGGTGAAGGATTATTATTGAGCGATCAAACTTATAAATTCATACATTGATTACGTAATTATCTTCACAGCATTGGTTTATTTTTTGAGTTGAATGAAGACGGATGAAACTCTGACGTAAACAGGAAGTGAGATCAGGCCGAGCAGGTTGGGTGTAACTCGCATACCAACACACACACACACACACACACAGCTGCTCCAGGTGCCGACATGGCTCACAGTGAGTCTTTGATTTACGTGTTTACGTTGTTATTCCAGCCGTTGTGTCACCGTGTGTTTGTGTGTTCAGATGACGTCCAGGTGAAGACCAGCTTGTCTCCTCTGCTGCCGAAGAAACCGCAGCCGACAGATAAAACGGGTGAGACACAAACTCTCCTTTCAAATCACATTGTGGTTTGTTGTCGTGACCCTTTCAACCTGAAGGAGCTCCGTGTCCTCCTCCGCCCTCCAGCTCTGTGCTCCCTGCACAGCGTCTCTGGGCCCAGCGTCAGCATCCAGACGGAGCTGGCTGTGGAGCAGCTGAAGACCAAACAGCAGCAGGAGCTGCAGGAGCTGCACGTCCAGCTGGAGACACGGGTAGCACGCTAACACGTCACATGTCATTTATCTGACGCTTTCATCCAAAACGACTTTGTGTGTGTGTGTGTATATATTTTTATATATATATACACACACACACACACTAAGTGCATTTCAACCATAAGGAAACAAACTCAGAAGAACAAGAAAGTGCGATTTGATCAAATAAGCCAGTTTACAACTTGCTGTAGATAAGAACCATTATAAGTCCAATGTAAGTGCTACAGTTAGTTAGTGTGTTAGTGGAGGTAGAGTCTGAAGAGGTGTGTCTTTAGTCTGAAGATGTGAAGGCTCTCTGTGGTCCTGATGTCTTCAGAGACCTCCTTCCACCATTTAGGAGCAGGACAGCAGAGAGTGGAGATCTAGTCGAGTGTTTTGCTCTCAGTGAGGAGGAACAAGCAGTTTATCACATGCAGAGCGGAGAGTGCGGGTCGAGATGTCGTGTTGGACCAGGTCCTGGATGGAAGCTGGACCCCATCCATTCACAGCATGGTACGTGAGCACCATGTTTAGAACTGGATGAGCCACTGGTACCAGTGAAGAGAGCGGAGGAGAACTTAGGAAGGTTAAAGACCAGTGGAGCTGCTGCATTGTGGGTGAGCTGCAGAGGTGGAATGGAGGTAGCAGGAGACCTGCAGGAGTTACAGTAGTCCAGGAGGGAGGTGACAAGAGCCTGAATCAGTACCTCCTTCTGAGTGAGAAGAGGACGTGTTGATGTTGTAGAGCGAGTATCTACAGGATGGTGTTGTCAGTGATGTTGGAGTCAGGGAGAGTCGGCTGTCGATGTCACGCCGAGGTTCCTGCAGTCAAAGTGGACGTTAACACGGAGTCTCAAAGTTAACAGTCAGGTCCCGTGTAGGAGAATCTTTTCCCAGAAAGAGAAGTAGTTCCGTCTGTCGGGGTTGATTTTCAGATGGTGGGCGGATCCACTGAGAGACGTCAGTCAGACAGGCAGAGATCCGAGGGAGGGAAGGAGAGAACTAGTTGGGTGTCATTGACATAGCTGTGGTAGGAGAAGCCATGTGAGCGAATGACAGCGCAGAGAGAGTTGGTGTAGAGCGAGAAGAGGAGGGGACCCAGGGCGGAACCCTGAGGAACTCCAGTAGTAAGAGGACAAGGTTCCCACACAGATCCTCGCCAGGTTACCCGGTAGGTGCGTCCGTCGAGGTAGGACGACAGAAGGGAGAGACCAGAGCCTGAGACACCAAGTTCCTGTAGGGAGGAGACAATGATCTGGTGGTTGACTGTCATATGCAGGAGAGACGTCCAGAAGGACGAGGGGAGAGAGGAGCTCTAGCAGTGTGGAGCTCTGAGACAGCGAGGAGAGCAGTCTCTGTGGAACGGCCTTGAAGCCGGATGGTGGCCCCCCGGCAGTACTCCAGTGATAAGACAGTTTGCAGCTGTTACATAGAGCTTTGCTTCTGACCACTGCGCCGTCTCGTTCTCAACTTCTCTGCTAATGTGCAGCAGAGTTAAATGCTCTTCCACTACTTTAATGTGTGTTTATAATGGTGCCCTGATATCCATACCTAACACATGTGCTACGTGGTCTCTGCCCCTCCCAGGTGAACTACTATGAGCGCAGCCTGGAGGTGATGAGGCAGAGCATGGAGGTGGAGCGTAAAGACATTGCTCAGGCCTTCAAGGTCAACACCAAGCTCCATGTTGTTCTTCATGAATGTGTGGATACGCTGAATCCCCTTCTGCTGAGTTGCGTATGGTACCATGAAGTCCTCTCATCCTCCCTCCTTCAGATGGAGATCAGCGAGCTGGAGGAGCAGAAGTCTCAGGCGGAGCAGGAGGTGAAGCAGCTGAAGGAGGCTCTGGGCCGACTGCACCCGCAGGCCGGAGGAGGAGGGTGGATTCATGGGCAGGAGCGTCGGTGAGGAGCTTCATCACCTCGCTGGATGCGTCACGTCAGCTGTGACCGGTTGCTTTTTACCCTCAGCGTCTTGTTTTTATGTCATTTTTCCCAGAATGCAACGGGAGCGGGCGGAGCTGGAGCAGAACTTTGCCAGAGAAATCGGCAACCTGGTCCAGAGGCTGAGCTCTGAGAAGGACGAGATGGAGGCGGAGCTGAAGCTGGAGAAGGACCAGGAAGTGATGCTGGTCAGGTGGGTGGAGCCTGTAGGCCTGTCCGTTAAACATTTCAATGTAGACTCGCGTTACCATGACAACAGTCTGATGAAGCGTGAAAGCTCTTGAGGTCATAGATCTGCTGTAGTGAAGTGCTGATCACTTTTATTGATCCGAGTCACAGCTGGTCAGAAACAGGAAGTCTCTCGGCTGTGATTATTGATTTAACGCTGAGTACCATGTGAGCAGCGGCGAATCAGCGCTGCGGCTGCCCTCTCGCATGAAGCTGCAGCGCCACGAGCGCCGCCGGCTCCCAGAGCAGAGAGGTGCTGAGGAGCAGCTCAGCCAATCGGAGGCCAGCGTGGAGGAGCTCAGAGGGCGGCTGGAGGAGGAGCTTAAAGCCTGTAGCAGGCGCTGTTCTGAGCTGGAATCCAGGCTGGAAGAGAGCATCTCCTTCCTGGAGGCCCTTGAGCTTACGAGTCAGCGTCTGGGCTCAGAGAAGAGCTCTGTGCAAGGGGAGCTGCAGCAGGTGAGGAGCAGGGAGGAGCAGCTTCTGCGTCAGGTGACCCAGATGAAGGAGGAGCTGGGAAACCTTCAGACGGCGTCCAATGGAGTCCTGCAGAAGCGGCTCCAAGCCAGAGAGCAGAGGGTGGATGTCCTGAAGATGGAGCTGGAGAGTCTGCAGGAGGACTCCAGGTTCCAGGCTCAAGGTCTGTCAAAAGCCATTGCTGGACTAGACTTGCTAAAGATGGACCGGGCCAGGCTGATCCAGGACCTGAAGGACCAGGCCATGGCTGTGGACACCCTGCAGCTGGAGCTGGACGGCGTCTTCGAGGAGTTGGATAGGAGGAGAAGCGCCAAGGAGGCTCTCCAGGAGGCCCTGAAGCAGGAGCAGACCCTGACCTCGCTGCTCCAGTCTGCTCTGGATGGGGACAAGGAGGAGGTCCATGGTGTTGGCCAGGAGAACGGGACCTATGCCCAGCTGGTGGACCAGCTCTCCAACCAGATCGTAGAGATGGAGGAGGAGATCTCCACTCTCAGAGACCATCTCAGAGAGCTCAGCGCTCAGCTAAATGACACTGCAGACCTGGTCCTGGACCTCCGGAGGCAGCTCAACTCCAAAACCAGCGAGTTGGATCTGCTCCGGGCCGAGGTCGCAGAGCTCTCACGCCGAGACGAGGACCAGCACCGGAAAGACCTGGATGTGAGCAGACGCCAGGTCCTTCAGCTGCAGAAGAACCTGCTGGAGTCCCAGAACCAGCTGAGGACTGCGGAGCAGGACTTTGAGCAGGAGAAGAGGACCATGATGCAGAAGCTGATGGAGCTGGAGAAGCTGGTCCTGGACCTGGAGGAGGTGATGGACCTGGCCAGTCCACACAGGTTTGTGGAGCATGAGATCCAGAGCATGGACCTGCTGATGACTAACTGCATCCGTCACAGCCGACTCGCTTTAACTCTTCAGACGAGATGTTCGTCTCTTCCGTCTGCTTCAAATGAGCCGTGAATGTGTCGCTTTCATTTTAGAACCCGAAATTCTGAGCGTTCCTCTGTGTTAACGACGTACATTCATTAGCAAAGCACGTTAATATGCGGTAAGATTCTTCAATCAGCACAGAAATCATCTTTTCATGAATCAAATTAAGTTATTACTGAATTGTGTGATTTTAAAATCTATCTCAGGGGGTCCTGGTCCTCACTCGGTGCGTGTTTCCAGGTCCCAGCTGGAGGAGGTGCGGGCGGAGAACGGCGCCTTGGGGCAGCGGCTCGGCGCCCTGCAGCAGGAGGTCAGCGAGCTGGAGGACGACGTCGCCAAGAGGACGTGAGTTCTTCCTTTTTATGATTCTCAGCTATTTTTGATTTAGTCTTTAGACTAAAGTATAGTATATAATAAGCCATATTAAACTCAGGCCCAGGGACCCCCTGTGGTGTGTCTACAGCTACAATAGTCCAGCTTGCAGTACTTGGTTGTCCATCAGATGTCCTCCTAGGACGGGCCTATAGATGTCCCTCCTATAGGGCGGGCCTATAGATGTCCCGCCTATAGGGCGGGCCTATAGATGTCATCATGACGCGATGACATCCGCCGTACTTCGTCTGTCTGTCGTCTGTCAGCTGCGTGCGGATTTAGGGGGAAAAGTATCGTGACTTCGTCAACCACCAACATGTTCGTCTCGTTAACGAAAGTTAGAATAGATTTAGTCATAGTTTGTATTTTTCGTCTCGTCTTAGTCGTGGAAAAAAGTGTGTCACTGAGCTCGGACCGGTTTCCCACCTCATCCACCCTTTCCACTGGGAACTGCTGCATGGGGGCGACCTGGGGGCCCTTTCGTGCCATCCAGGGGTCACAGCGGGGACAAGTCCTCCACGTCCCTCCTGCACTGTCCCCAGCAGAAGCCCTGGCGAAGGCGGCGCAGTGAACACGCCTCATGCTCATGTTTGTCCCTTGTTCTCCTGCCAGGAGGAAACTGGACGAGATGGAGAGGGAACACGAGCGGAGCCGAGAAGCAGAGAAGACGCTGCACAAAGAGGTGAGAGGAGCTCCCGCCCTCTGACCTCTGACCTCCGTCGCTCACGTCTTCTGTGCGTCTGCAGAACTCCAGGTACCGAGAGGAGCTGCTGGACCTGAGCGCCAGGAACCTGCGGCTCAGCGCTGACAACGGCGAGCTGAGCGCCCGTCTCCGCGGCGACCAGGAGTCGCTCCAGATGCTGCGGGAGCGCCTGCTGACTGTCTCCAAGGAACAGGAGGAGGGGGTTTCCACGGCAAGTCGCTCCCTTTGTCTCCTCAAGAAGGTCGGCGGGAGTTTTGGTTTCAGGTCTGACCACCAGACCACCAGACCACTAGACCACTAGACCACCAGACCACCAGACCACTAGACCGTGTTCTGAATGAGAGACGCGGAGTATTGACGCGGTTGTGGGATCAGTAATAACAAGAAATGTCATTTGTTTACATACAAGAATTATAAAGACAACTACATTCTTATTCTCTCACAAAATAATCCACAAGAACATCAGTTTCTGAATCCATGAAACGCTGACGATGCTCTTGTGTCTGTCTGCAGGAGAGACCGCCGAGTGTCCCCCAAGACCAGGTCTGTGTCCTGTTTACTCCTCCTTTGATCCCCGCTTGTGAGATGCAGTCCAAACCGGACTTCATTGTGTGTTACGTTTGTGTGCACGTGTCAGCTGACCCGTCTGTCGGCGCTGGAGGCGGAGCTTAGCGCTGAGACCCTGAAGCTGCAGCGGTTGGAGGAGGACAAAGACAAACTGCTGAGAGAAGCGGACGAGCGGAACAACAAGGTTTCTGCCGCCGCCTGACGCGATGACCACCAAACAAGCCGCTGGCTTTTCTCACCTTTGACCTCTGTCAGGTGGAGGCTCTGCAGCGGGCGCTGTTCTCCGTGGAGGCGGAGGGGGAGGAGCTTCGCTCTCAGCTGCGCGCCGTCTGTCAGGAGAAGCTAGGCCACGCCCAGGAAGTGAGCCAGCGGCAGAGGAAGGTGTGACGGCGTTAGATGGAAAACAACAAATCCACGTTTATTTAATATTCTTCATGTATTCGTTTCTTCATGAGTCGCATCCTTCAAGTGGTCCATACGTGGACATCGTAATAATAATACGTCACGTGACGTCACGTGACTCCCTGGTCAACATGAGCACAAGTCACAGCTTCGTCTGCCTGTCAGGTGGAGGAGCTGGAGAGCAGCGTCAGGAAGCTGATGAGGGTGGAGGAGGAGCTCCGTCAGGGTCTGCAGGAGCAGCAGGAGGAGATCCACAAACTGAGAGTCCAGAACCAGGAGCTCCAGCACGAGGTACCAGAGCAGTCCGGCACGCTGTGGTAGTCTAAATGATCCCAGATCAATGTCTCTGCTGTCTCTCAGCTGGCAGCTCTGCAGGTCCAGAACCAGGAGCAGCAGATCCTGAAGACCGAGCTGATGGAGGCTCAAGACCAGGTCTGGACTCTAGGCAGGAGGACTCCATGGTGCCCGCGGAGCTCAGTGCTTTACAGTGACCTTCCTTTGCTCAGGTGCAGCGGGCCGATGCCGCGCTGCAGCTGGACCGGTTGCAGCACCTGAGGAGGCTGCAGGAGGTGCAGAGGCAGGCCGGAGATGGACACAGGGAGCAGGAGGAGCGGCTGCAGGCCCGCCTGCAGGAGGAGCAGGGGAGGAGTCGGCAGCTGGAGGAGACGCTGCGGCTTCGGGCCCAGCACAGCAGCTCCCACATCAGCATGAAGCAGGTAGACGCTCAGAGGTCAAAGGTCACTGCGTTGCACCTTCCTATCAGACAAAACGTGGTGGTGCATGGAGTAGAGGGTGCTCTGGGAACTGTTGGCAGTTTGAACCCCGGCTGCTCCATGTACCATGTCGAAGTGTCCCTGAGCAGGACACCTGACCCCCACCTGCCCCCCGGGCAGAATGTAACAATGCAACGTACGTAGTTAGCCATTAGCGGTGCTGCTAATATGTGTGCGTGTGCTGCGTTCAGGACCAATATGAAAAGGCGGTGCTGGTCCTGCGGCAGAGGACTGAGGAGCTGGAGACCACTCTGAAGGCAGTCCGGCTGGTCCTGCAGGAGAAGGTCCAGCAGCTCAAAGAGCAGGTGAGTCCTGGCTCCTCCCTCACATGACCGCTTGCCCCTCCCCTCGGTCACATGATGTGCTGTCGTTTCCTCCTCAGCTGGCGAAGAACAGGAAGTCTGGTGCGCTGCTGAAGGATCTGCACGGCGAGAACGCTCAGCTGATGAAGGCCCTGCAGGTCACGGAGCAGCGGCAGAAACACGCAGAGAAGAAGAACTTCCTGCTGGAGGACCGAGTCCGCGCTCTGAACAGCCTGCTGAGGGAAGTTGTCACGGCCGTCTGAGTGGAGCTTCTCCTCGAGGGTCAGTGAGGCCATGAAGTCACTGTCCTCCAATATGACATCACAGGATCAGTTTACTGTATTTATAATGGCTCAATAAACTGCAGGGTGATGTCTGACCTGAATATTTTAAGTTTAATTATAAAGGAATAATCTGTCACACACTCATAGGAATGTTTGATTATTGAAGCCTTTAAGTTAAATACAATGTTTACAACAAATAAAAAAAGGTCGATAGATCGATAGATGTGATGTTTGTGGGAGGGGCCTTTTCCCTGTGAGTGACACCTGTGTTCATTCAGCAGGTGGTTGTTTTCTCCTTCCTAAAGCTGCTTCATAGGAGCGAAGAATTAAACCAGTCAGCCCACAGAGACACACACACACAGAGATACAGACACACACACACACACACACAGATACAGACACACACACACACTGGCTCAAGTGGCGTCATCAGTTGATGCCTCTGGTTTCAGTCTGCAGTTTCCTGTCACAGTGAAGTTTATGCTTCTGCGTTTTCAGGGCGACGTAAGAGCCCCTTGCGTCTGCGTCGACGCAATGCTGCGATTGGTCCGCTAACTACGACCTTTACGGAGTCTCACGTTTCCGCTTTCATAGCCCGATACGGCCGTTATTAAAAGGAAGAATGTTTACGAGAGAACGGATCAGATTGAAGTCTATGATCAATAAATAAAGCAACCAGCGACTTCCACACACAAAGACGTGACTCTCCAGGTCGTCTTCAACAGAACACGTGACTCCACCTGTTGTTCTGGAGGTGAATCGCTCTGCAACACACGCAGGACTTTACAACCAGGAAGTGAAACCAGCGCGTGAGGAAGCAGATGTAGTGTCTTATATCGATGACCCGGTTCATAAATTAGACCAATAAAATGCGTGTAGTGGATGTGGTGGAAATTTGTGGATTTAGCCCATGTGAGAAATCAAAAGTATCTTGAGCTTGCTTTGTGATGAAGTATTTATTACTAACTAGAATATAGAAAAATGATAAAGAATACAGAAATCATCAGCACAGACAGAAGTCAAATGACTACAATTCAGCTGAAAAGGGACAAAGTTCCTTCTCCCAAAAGGAGCAGGAAGATCTGACCAAGTTTCTATGGGGGACGAGGAGCTTTTATCTCTGAAGGTTCGAGGAATGCTAACCAGATGTTTCGGGAACCTCCACGACCCTCTGAGTGGGACCAAGTCAATCATTTAGACAGACAGGAAAACAGAGGAGAAAGGTAAATAGAAGAACATGATATGGTCTGTCTAAGCCACATATGGATTTCATCGTGGACTAGGTCAGGTCACGAGTTTCCCAAGAAAGGTCACATACGAGTTCTTGAGACTCTCACAACATGCATCTCAACAAATTCTCCCCCGACAGTGGACACGAGTATAGAGCCGTGAGTCTGAAACATTACGTACGTTCATCCCGAGCAACTTACGCTGCATCTTTACTTTATACTGTAGTACATATCGGAGGTACACAAGGTACTTACTTACTCTGAATAAATGTATTAGTGATTAGAATCTAAATTAAATGAATCATAATACACATTTAGCATGAATAATACCTTTAATTGTACTTTAGCAACTCTACCACTGAACTGTAGTATTACTCTGAATACAGACTGAATGGAGACAAAACACTTTATTTATTTAAAAGGAAAGGATCCACTTTGTTGTGTTCAGGGGACGTCGTGAATCAGGACATCACGTGCTCCAGGACGCCCTGACGAATCAGCTGCTCACATTTCCACCGCGGCAGGAAGTGCTGCGGAGAGACGGAGGAGGTGAAGGGGACGACTTCCTGTGTGACGCGTTCACTGTCATCACGTCACTTTGAGGACCAGCATTGTCACAATAAATCACAACCACTATTGATACCATCCTTCATATTATTATGAATCAAATTGTTATCAGTATCATTTAATTATAAAATATGATTATTTAATTTGTCTAGAAAAGATGATACAATGAAGTGTCATCACTCTGAGCCATTTAAATAATTAGGAGGTACTTGTACTAGCGCTGCAGTACTGTGATGAGTACTACTTGTAACATACAAATATAATAAATGGAAACCTGGCTGTTCTTCTTCAGAAGGATGACGGTTCCATCGTCGATCTCAAACTCTCCGTGATCCTTCAGACACCTCACCTGCAAAACACCTGATGATGTCACAGTCATGTGACCGCGCTGCAGCTCCGGGTACTTACACAGAGTACATGGTGCGAGCACCGGGAACAATTTACAGCTGAAGATTAAATGATAAAAAACATAATATTAATAAATAATATGGATCTTTTTCACATGAACAAAACTTTATTTACAAAATAATTAGGAGAAAAAATGTCAAATGTCTCCTCCGTTCTAAATAGAAACAGTTTTAATGTTTTACCAGACCGACTAAATAAAAACAAAAATCATTTTACATGTAAATGCACTTGTTTTGTTTTTAACATTTAATATTAAAACATATACGTGTATTAATATATCTGATATATCTATATATAGATATATATATAGATATATATATGTGTTTCCCACACATAGACTAATTTGTGGCGGTGCACATGTAGGCTGTAACAACAAGTAGTACAGGGTGTGAAATGTGTACTACACATTATAGAATGCGCCTGTCAACCAATCACTGTGGGAAACACTGATATATATATATATATATATATATATATATATATATATAACATGTTTTGAAAAAGCAATGTTAAACTACAGACGAGTGCGTTCCTACATTTCCCATCATGCAGCTGAACAAGACGTCTCACCTCGATGTAGAGGCTCTTTGGAGGCTTCATGTCCTGAGTGATGTCCAGACCCTCGCCCCCCCCAAGGGACCGCATGAAGGAGGCCAGTGACTTTTTGTACTGACTGAACCACTGCACCTGCGCGGTGGGGGGAGGGGCTTAACATATGACACTGACACTAGAAACCACTTCCTGACACGGAATATCATCAGGGATCACTGTCACTTTACGTTGCTCTCAACTCTCCATCATTTGACGTGTTTCAAGTCAACAACACGGGGGTCCTCTGCAGGGTCGCCTAGCAGCTAGCTTAGCATAGCAGTGCATAAAATCGTCCTCCGCACAGTTCTGTGCAGTTTGTTTTTACTTTTAATGCAAAAGGCGTCTCACTGGTTGCTAAGCAGCAGGGGTGAAGCGTACGACGCAACACGAAGTCCTTCGTAGGACCAACTGTCCCATTTCAGGCGTCAGGCTACGCGCCCACAAAGAAGACTGGGTCCTCCTGAGGATGCAGCCCACCAAACGAGACACAGCTAAGATCATCCACATCAGTCCAGCTGCTGAACAGGAAGTGATGTCACTCACCTCCTCTGCACACATGTGGAAGCGAACGTTAGCAGGCAGAACGCTACCGTACTCCCAACGCAGAGCGCGGATCCTCAGGAGACGGTCGTAGCTTCAGGGGGTCACATGGTGTACGGGAGAGACAGAGGGGGGGTGTTACAGGTGTGTGTGTGTGTGTGTGTGTGTGTGTGTGTGTGTGTGTTTACAGGTAGGCGGTGACACAGCGTTGGTTCCTCAACAAGCAGCAGTGACGTAGTTTGATGGAGGCGATGAGGTCAGATCGACCTTCAGCTTTTGCCTCGTTACTGAAACAGACGTCATCATTAATGTCCTGATTATCAGTATTGATGATTATTGTTAATAATGTTACTATAATTAATATTATCAGTCTAGTGATCAGTTATGATCAAATCACTTAAACCAACCAACTAAAATACAAGAATAGAAAAAAAAGTATTCTAATAAAAATAAGATCAGCTCATCAGATATGAGCAGCTTGTGACTCTAATTCATCAATAACACGATTCCTTTCTTATACAAATATTGAAACCATCACATTTTAAATGATCTGAACGAACATCTTCAACTGTATATTTTCATTTTGGACTTTTTAAATGTGACGTCAACAGTGTCCTATGACGTGACTCACACGTCACTCTGGTTCTGGTCGTACAGAGCTTCCATCTCCTGCAGAACCTGCCGCAGTCCGTCCTCCTGGAAAACCACAGCCAGACTCCGGTCACAAATCGGCCCATTTAACAGTCACCTCCCGCCGGCTGCTCGGTGACGTAACGTCCCGGTGTTCTCTCTGATAGCGGCCGCAGTGCGTCGAGGGACCGATAATCAAAGGTTCTGTTCATGGGCTTAGTGGGGGGTCGCTGTCTAGTCTTGATTTAAGAGTTGGGTAAGAAGCAGGCAGACACGAGTCTGACAGGATGGGGAGTCAGTTTCTGTCCTGGCTGAGGAATGTAAGGTCAGCGGGTCAACCAGTAGATTTACCAGCCAAAGGGGGTTTGAGACACACCAACACTATTCAACATACACACTGTGTTTACGATGTTTACGTTAAGTCAGGAGTCTGGACATCGGATGTGACCGGATCTTTAGATGCGGGAGGTGGAAGGTCCTCCTCTACGCCAGTTTAGGGCCAATAGAAATCTTTCCTTCTCTGTCTTATAAAGGGTTATAAAACACGATGTTCTTGCTGATGTTAGTTGGTTGTTCTTCCGGCCTGTGTGCTGCCTGAACTGCTGATACTTGACCTGTGATCTGACAAATAAATCTCACAGAACGAGAGAAGTCGTTCGGCTGAATTTTTGATGACCCCGACCGGGCTCCGATTCTTGAACACGTGTTCTTACAGGATTGAGTTCCATGAACATCTATTGACAACATGTCTGAGCGGTTTATTGAATGAAGTCCACCGCGGGGTCACTCACGTTAAAAGCGGGCAGCTGTCCGTCACTCATCCGGTGGAGCTCCCGAATCAACTCGATGGCTTTCTCACAAAACATTCCGGTACCGTGAAACACGAACAGCGCGCACGGAAAGTCAAAAAGTCCCGGAACCGGACCAGCAGCGGGACTCTCGCTGCGGTTTCGCGGGAAAAATCGTAGCGTGTTGTGATCACGTGCTAAAAAAAGTGTCGCTCCGGAAGCCGCGTTGGGCCAAACTTCAAATCCACGGGAGCGAGCATCGCGTGGATTGAGCGTGTATAAAATGACGACGCGCGAAACGCTCGTTTACGGTTTGTAAACTCGCAATTTATCGCGATATTTATCCCACAGTTTTACTTCCGGTTAGCAAACGGCTCAGTCTGCTGAAAATAAACCCGTCCGACAGGCTTTCACCGCCGGCCTCGAACCACCCGACACCGACCCGAACCCTCCGTACCGAGCGCGCGGTGCTGTGGAAATCGCAAAGAAGTGGGACGTTGTCGTTTTTCACAGTCGCTTCCTGTTTATGCAGATAGCTTCGATGCTAACTAGCTTTTTAAAATGATGAGTTCAAGTGAAGAACAAGACGCTCTGAAATGGTAAATATGTGTTTCTGTTGACGTCACGCAAGTTGTTACGTCGGCGTTTAACAATCGGAACTCTGAAGCCAAATGAGTTTAAAGGTATCAAGAGAACACATGATGTGTTCAGGTTCCTTAAGGATAAAAGTAAATCGATTTACAAGTACTGTACAAATGTGGCCTTTGCTTGAGTATCTACATTTAATTCATCTTTATGTTTCCTCTCTACTTCCTCTCAGAGGTAGTGACGTTACCTTATACTGTATAGGTCTCAGATGTACAAGAACCTTCCGATCGTTAGTTTTATTGGTTTTATTTAATAGTTTGTTCTTTATTTCTTTTAATACCCAAACATCTCGATTTACGTGTCAACTTTTCTCTCTCGTGCACTTGAAGTCAGCACGCGCTACTTCCGTTCTCCTCGTTTTTGTTTTGGTGGTCGATTATCTAACACCTCTCAGTGGCCGCGAACGCAGCAGCTGGACCACGTGTTCATGCATCTGTTGTCCTATTGGCTGAGCGCCGATCAGCTGCTCTCTGCGGGTGTTCGTGACCGCGCACAGCTCGAGCTGTCGGAGCCGCGGCGGGGACTCAGGCTCCGTGTCCCGGTCATCCGGGTCAGTCCTCCGGTTAACGGTTCTGCCGTTATTCCCGTGCCAGTGATGCGAAAGCGGAATAACTCTGATGACAGCGGCACTCTGCTGGAACGCGACCCGGACCTGAAGCAGCGTCCCGGGGAGGCAGCGGCCGACTGGCAGGGCCCGGGCGGGGAGCGGGACATGGGGAGACCCTTCAGCAGGTAAGACCCGGACAGGTGTGTTCTCTGTGAACAAGAACAAATGCATCACGTGAACACAACACTTTAAAAGAACCAAGAACATTCCATAGCGAATTGTTTTACTAACGTATTCAATAAAACGGGTAAATGTAATAAACAGGTGAATAATAAACCAGTTTACGGCTTTCGTGTTCCAGTGTTCATGCTAAGCTAACCCTGTCAGCTTCATGCTTCCTCTTCGGTCTGATCCTCATTAGAGCTTAAGCTCAAGTTTGACCCGAGACACCAGACGAACCTGCTGCACGTATACGTGTATTAATACTGTGTTTATACATATCTGCAGTGTGTATTGCAGTACTAGTAGTAGTGAAGTGTTTTACAGACCCGGGACAGGAAGTGAGAACAACTCGTAGCTTCAGCATCAGACAGGAAGTGACGTCACAGTGAAAGAGGAAGGTTGTTTTGTGTTTGACTCAGTCAGCGTCTCACGAAAACATCCGGATGGATTCAAGTTTATCACCTAAAGGACATTGACAGGAGGAGCGTTAGTACGATAATAACCTTTCACTGCATCAACATATTCACAACGCTTACTGATTACTGGTACGCGTGAAGCACGACGTAAAGCACGATGTGAACTGGTTCTTCCTCCTCACTGCAGTGCGCTGACCCCTAACCCTAACCCTGTGTGACCTGAAGGATCAGTGTGTGTGTGACGATACCAACAACAATAACTAGACTTTAATAACAGTTGTAAGAGCCGGTTTATGATGTATGTGAGGAGCTGATTGATGGGCGGGCAGCCGATACAGGGTAGGAACCTTTGGGGGCTCGGCAGGTGTTTCCAGCCGGAATAGCAAACCATTTTTGACCGCACGCTGGGTAGTGTCATGTAACGCGCCGGGTGCATGTATGTTAAATACTAAACAACACAAAGACTACAAGGACTCTCATTCATCCGTGACGAACAGCGACGGGTTTCTGGACAAAATGCCTCAGTGGCTTAAAGCGAAGACTTCGTCTCTACAACGGTACTGGTGGTAATACGTCTTTGATATGAAGACGCTTAAAGGAATACTTCACTGAATAATAGAAGAGCTCCTGGATCCACGAGTCACATCGCTTACTGACGGACCAGTGGAGCAGCACCAGTAACGCCAGTAGTACCAGTAACGCCAGTAGGGCCAGTAACGCCAGTAGGACCAGTAACACCTCACCCGTCCGCCCTTACCTGTCCCCAGGTTGGGTGCGGGCGGGAAGATGAAGAGGATGATCTTGTGGCTGCTGGTCGTCTACGTCTCAATTCCCTTCATCGTCAAACTGTGTCCTTCCATCCAGGCCAAACTCGTCTTCCTCAACTTCGGTAAGTGTTTGAGCTGAAGGGAGGAAGGAAGATAGGAGGAAAGGTAGGTAGGACAGAAGGAATGAATACAGGTAGAGAGGAGAGGAGGGGGGAGAGAAGGAAGACCAGGTAAAAAGGAATCTCTCTGCTCACCACCTGTCTGTCTCCTCCAGTGAGGATGCCGTACTTCCTCGACCTGAAGAAACCACTGGACCATGGACTGAACCACACACACAACTTCTACCTGCAGCCAGAGGCCGGCCAGAAGATTGGAGTCTGGTAAGACACACACACGTACACATGTAACACACACACACACACACACACACACACACACACACACACATGTAACACACACACCTGTTGTGTGTTTCAGGCACACCGTTCCTGCTCAGATGTGGAGAGAAGCTCAGGGGAAACAAGGCGACTGGTACGACACCACCTTTAGCTCCACCCACACTGTCATCCTTTATCTCCATGGAAACGCAGGAACCAGGTGACTTCAACTCAAACTTTCTGACCTCTGACCGCCTGTGTGCTGGTTTGTTTGACCTTTGACCTGTCTGTGTGTCTGTACAGAGGAGGAGACCACCGAGTCCAGCTCTACAAGGTAAGTCCGACCCGCCACTCACCCACCCACCACTCACCCGCCTCCCATCCACCACTCACCCATCCACAACTCACCCACCCGCCACCCACCTGCCACTCACCCGCCCTCTGTCTTCATTCAGGTCCTCAGCTCGTTAGGGTTCCACGTCGTCGCCTTTGATTACAGAGGTGAGAAATCTGATTCTTCTTCACGTGGTTTATAAACAAAGCTGCTGTGACGCTTCAGTGAACCCTGTCTGTCTGTCTGTGTGTCTGTCTGTGTGTCTGTCTGTGTGTCTGTGTGTCTGTCTGTCTGTCTGTCTGTCTCTCTGTCCACAGGGTGGGGGGATTCCGATGGCTCCCCAACAGAGGGAGGGATGACAGCAGACGCTCTCTACGTCTACGATTGGCTGAAACGCCGTCTGGACGTTAAGACGCCGTTTTACATCTGGGGACACTCTCTGGGGACGGGGGTAACACACACATGGACACACACATGGACACACACATAGATACACACACGCTTTTATTATTTGATGTCATAATGAATTATTCTTCGAGCGCACTACGACTCTCGTCAGAGGCGCGGAGCGATGGTGGAGATGTATAAGATATTTTCCTACATACACACACACACACACACACACACTGTGGCATCAATAACTCTGATAATGTGATTATACGCCTAACATCCTCGTTAACATGCAGATTAACGTAAAGGTTAATTAATGCGTAACAGTCATCACTTGATTGACAGGAAGTCCTCCTCACGCTGTGATCCTCGAGTCTCCTTTCACCAACATCAGAGAGGAGGCCAGAAGCCACCCATTCTCCAAGGTACCCCCCCCCACACACACACACACACACGTTATTTCATTCACTATTCGTGTACTCGACGCATCTGTAGGTTTAAATATAAGATGCTCACATCTTCACATTCATCATCCCAACTGATTACATAATCATTCTAATTCGGTAACTATTCGTATTGTCCAATATGTCACATCCGTGGCTGCAGACCCGATGCAGTCAAAACTCGTGCGCGTGTATTCCAGGTGTACAGATACCTGCCTGGCTTTGATTGGTTCTTCCTGGACGCCATCACAGCGAACGACATCCGCTTCGCCAGCGACGAGAAGTACGCCGGCTTCCTTTCTGTTCACAGAAGCAGTGACCTTCGACAATAACGACCTCAGATACATGAGATAGAAAGTGGTTTAAGTAGTGTTAGATAATTCTTCTTTTTAAGGCACGGTATTGTTTGTCATAAAAATAAATAAACTATATATATAAATTATATAAAAATAGTATAGTATTTCATAACAATTAAAATGTAATAATATATAAACATGAGTATAGTATATATCTTTTTTCTCAAGTTGTAATATATTATTACAAGAAACAAGAAAAAAAGTCAATGTTCCATAACAAGAATGACGTCATGTGGTGAAATGAATCTTCAGTAAATCACAACAATTTGCTCAAAACATTTTAAAATATAATTTGTTATAAAATGCCCAATGTTGGAAAAGTACAACCATTAATATAAAAAATAAAATGTATATTCTAATAGAATAAATTTGATTTGAGTAATTTATTCATATTATTTGGATATTACTTTTTCTAAACTTTTTTTATGCATTCTAATAACTTAGACAATTAGAAATAAAAAACAAAACATTTTAAAAATCCTTTTTCTAATGAGAAACTGGAGAAAAAGTTAACGTTAAACATGTATATATTTACATATACATACATATATATATAATAAATACAATGTGTATACATCCATATTCTATCGGTAAATGACCATAAAATATGTTTCACATGTATATATTTGTTGAGGGAAATAGAATGTGTGTTTATGTATAGTGAAGCTAACATTAGAGCGCGTTGCTGCTGCAGCTACTGTTCAGAGGTGGTGCTACATCACGCAGCTGTAATGTCCCACTGTCCCTGAACGTGTCCTCCCCCTCAGCGTGAAGCACATCTCCTGTCCCGTGCTGATCCTCCACGCCGAGGACGACGCCGTGGTCCCCTTCCACCTCGGGAAAAAGGTTCAGGACGCAAAGCCAAATAATAATAATAACTCAAGCGTTTGATCTAACGGCTCTCGGTCCTCCTGTAGCTCTACGAGGCTGCCACCCGGTCCCAGAAGCTCCAAGGACACAAGGTCCAGATGGTCCCCTTCTCCTCGGCGCTGGGCTACCAGCACAAGTTCATCTACAGGAGCCCAGAGCTGCCGAACATCCTCAGGTACCGAGTTCGGATGAGTCATCACTAACACACTTGTGTCTGTATGACATCGTCTTAAAGCCTGTATGACGTCACCTCAAAGCCTGTATGACGTCGTCTTAAAGCCTGTATGACGTCACCTCAAAGTCTGTATGACGTCACCTCAAAGTCTGTATGACGTCACCTCAAAGCCTGTATGACGTCGCCTCAAAGCCTGTATGACGTCGCCTTAAAGCCTGTATGACGTCGTCTTAAAGCCTGTATGACGTCACCTCAAAGCCTGTATGACGTCGTCTTAAAGCCTGTATGACGTCGTCTTAAAGCCTGTATGACGTCGTCTTAAAGCCTGTATGACGTCGTCTTAAAGCCTGTATGACGTCGTCTTAAAGCCTGCATGACGTCACCTCAAAGTCTGTATGACGTCACCTCAAAGCCTGTATGACGTCGTCTTAAAGCCTGTATGACGTCGTCTTAAAGCCTGTATGACGTCGTCTTAAAGCCTGTATGACGTCGTCTTAAAGCCTGTATGACGTCGTCTTAAAGCCTGTATGACGTCGTCTTAAAGCCTGTATGACGTCACCTTAAAGCTCAAGATGTTTTCAGATGAAAATGAACATTTAAAGAACTGACCTTTGTGTTTTTGTCATTTCAGAGATTTTTTGGGGCCTGCCTCCCGACAGAAGGACTAGTCCTGAAAACATCAACATGTGTTTTACAGTTAGACTGAAACACAGACTTAGTCCTCATTCCGCAACATTTACTGCTTCACTTTCATTGTGTGATTTCATTTTTATTTTATTTTGAACTGAAAATCTCTGGACTCTCTTCAACATCTGGTTGGTTTTTGTTACTATTTCCTGTTATGACTTGAATTATGAATTAAATATTTCTAGTTTTAAGTAACTGGGATTTGTTTTTTTTGTGTGGAAGAAAAAATGGCGTCATCGGCGAAATATTTTAAATATTTTATTTAACACAAATTAATACGTTTAGTACATAATTCAAATTGGAAGTATTTGAATACGGTACATGAACAAAATAAAAAAGTAAAATGAACATGAATGTAACTAATAACAAAGACGTTGAAAGACTAACAGAGGTCTCACTCTGAAATTAAACCTGATCAGTTATGTTGATCGATAGCTTGGCTGGAGGTTTGATAGATGAATAAAGTCATGGGAAATATAAATAAAACTTGAGAATATAAAAAATGACAAAGTTGGCTGCTTTTATTGATTCTCAAACCCACAACCTCAGTTTGCTAAAGGAGCTCCTGACTACAAACATGGAGGCAAAGAGGACAAACGAAATTTAATTTGTTAAATTTAAGCGAGATTTCCCCTGAATATAATCCCCATTTTTATTTTACACTTCATCCTCTAGTGAGCGACTATTAACTGATGCACAGATGTGCTGCTCATCTGCCCACTTTGACCATCTGTCCCTCATCTTCGGAACCAGAGTCCTGACGGAAATAAAGAAAACACGATCACTATCAGGTCGAGTCTCTCATCACCGAAGGGACGTGGGATTTAGTTTTTCATCACCGCGACTCATCCGATCACAAACCATCTTCGGCGCTCTGCGTCATGACGTCAGCGTCGGGCGTCAGTCGAAGCGGCTCGTTTCCGGGTTTCGATAATCAAATAAACGTCTCCGATAAAGGCGACAGGTTACCGTTAAGCTTCAGGTGTCGTTCTGGGCTCCTCGTGGATGTTCGGCGGATTTCCGGTTCTCAGGTGAGCTTCACGTGACGCTTACTGGGACGAACCGCTGTTTGGGGTTTGAACCCGTTTGTCTGTGGGAACCAGCACGTGGACCCGGTCCACCTCCAGAAGGTAAAAAGCCTTCAGAACCGGGTCGTGCGCGGACCCCCAGAGACCCTCAGGGGCACTCTGAAGTGTGGTCTACCACGTAGTGGTCTACCAGGTAGACCACTACCTGCCTCACTTTAAGTCTTACTTCAGATGAGAAACATTACTACAAAATAAAAGCCCCATTCAGATGACCAGCCGATTGCCGAGGTACCTTTAGTACTGGTCCTGGTGACCTGGTGTGTCCGGGGTTTCAGCGGCGATGTCGACCTCCACTCAGAAGCACCGGGACTTTGTGGGCGAGCCGATGGGAGACAAACCAGTGACGAGCCTGTCGGGTATCGGAGGGATCCTGGGAGAGAAGCTGAGGCACCAAAGCCTTCGACAAGGTGAGACTCCCGGGCCCTTCCTCACACGAGACCTCCTGGCCCTTCCTCCACACGAGACCCCTGCCCTTCCTCCACACGAGACCCCCGGCCCCCCCAGTGGTGTTTTTCCATGTATGTATTTACCGTTTTAATCATTGTTTTTTAGGCCTACGTGGTCCTGGGTCAGTTCCTGCTTCTGAAGAAAGACCCGGAGATGTTCACCGAGTGGCTGAGGGACACCAGCGGGGCAAACTCCCGTCAGGCCGGACTCTGCAGTCAGTGTCTGAGGGAGTGGTGTGACGCCTTCCTCTGAGACCCCGCCTCCTCGAACCAGACCCCGCCTCTTACTGTTCTTGGCACCAATCCTCATGTCTGGTTTCACAGGTGACTCTCCTGCTGGATTCACGGGCATTTACATGAATAAAAGCTCAGCCTGGAAACCATTAAACCACCTTCACTTGGACCTTTTCTCAGTATTTATTTTCTGACTGGGGATCTTCTGATTGGCTTAAAGTCCACAGTGGAGAACCAATGAGTCTTTATCTCAAACAGTCACATCCGTTTATTGTGAAAAACAAACAAAACCAGGAAGTGCTTCAGTGTAGAAAACAAAACAATTGAACGTGCTGTCAATAAACGGAACAATTGTCCTCGTGATGTTATAGCTTCCTCTACAACACTCTTTTGGCAAAAAAACCCTTTATACCTTTTATATTTATAAAGTTTCAAACCTTCATGACAACAAATAAAACGTGCTGTATTAAAGCAGCAGATGAACAGGAGGTATCAGGAGTATTCCTAAGAAGTACTACAGTACGAAGGGGGGAGAGAATATTTCATTGGGTCAGCTGGAGACGTTGAGGTCATTGAGGCTTTTCACAATAAAAGCTTCAGTGGCTCTTCAGGAACTCAATGTAATGAAAAGTTGCTCCCAGAGCCCAACTGGTTTCCACCTGATTGATGGTCCTCGCCAGCTGCAACACACACACAGAGAGAGACACACAACTATCTGACAAAACACACGCTGGCCAAGAGAATATAAGACCAAGATTCCGTGGGGTTCCTCACCTTGAACTGTTTGTTGGGGGGGAAGCCGAGCTCATGCAGCAGGACTGAAATGTAGACCAGGTCCAGGCAGAGGAACGGACTCTGCAGGGGACTGACGGGGCGACTGCTGCACACTGAGACGACACAGGGCCAGTTAAACACCATTTAAAGACCACTATAAGTGTGGGACCCTCTGAGGATCCAGTGGTATCCCGTTGATGATGGTCCACTTCTACACGGCCATCATGGAGTCCGTCCTCTGCTCCTCCATCAGCGTCTGGTACGCTGCAGCCACAGCCAAGGACAAGGGCAGGCTGCAGCGTGTCCTCCGCTCTGCAGAGAGGCTGATCGGCTGCAATCTGCCGTCCCTGCAGGACTTGTTTGCTTCCAGGTCTCTGAAGCAGCTAAAAAGATGGTGGCCGACCCCTCTCACCCCGACAAAACCTGTTTGTGCCCCTTCCATCTGGCAGGAGGCTGAGGTCCATCAGGACTACGACCTCCCGCCACACCAACAGTTTCTTCCCGTCGGCAGTCGGGCTCATCAACAGAGCCGGTCCCCCACTAACGGACTATAACACTCCACCGGTCACTCCCCTTCATACTCCTCACATTCCTCTTGCACTATGTTGTCATATCTGTCTTCTTGTCCTTTGTCTTACTGTCTGCTGTTATGCACCAACAGCCAAGTCAGATTCCCTGAATGTCGGACATGTTTTGGTAATGAATATTTCTGATTCCTGATTGATTGGCAGTGGAGCTGCAGTTCTTTCTCTCACAGCTTGATGGCGACGTCTCACCTCGTTTGGCTGCTTCCATGTAGTCGACCACTCGAACGGTTCCTCCCGTCTCCTCCCCTGCAACAACAGAGGACAGCTCAGTGAGGACCTGGTCCTCCTTGTGTCTACTACACGTCCTCGTCTCCTACCTGCTCCTAGTCCTTCTAGTGTTTACTACAAGGTTCTGGACTTCTGGTCTCCTACCTGCTCCTAGTCCTTCTAGTGTTTACTACAAGGTTCTGGACTTCTGGTCTCCTACCTGCTCCTAGTCCTTCTAGTGTTTACTACAAGGTTCTGGACTTCTGGTCTCCTACCTGCTCCTAGTCCTTCTAGTGTTTACTACAAGGTTCTGGACTTCTGGTCTACTACCTGCTCCTAGTCCTACAAGGTTCTGGACTTCTGGTCTACTACCTGCTCCTAGTCCTACAAGGTTCTGGACTTCTGGCCGTCATGTTTAATAACGGATGTCAGCGTGGTCATAATGGTTAGCGTGGTTATTGTACCAATGAGCCCAAGGTCCACGGCCCGGTCGTAGTAGTAGGAGAAGGCGTAGAAGTCCACATCCGCTGCCTCGGACACAGGGACCACCTTCCTGTATAGAACCTTCTCCACTTTGGTCCGACACGCCTCGTAGACCGGCTCTCCTGAAACACACACACGGTTCCTACAGGCCCCCGATGCACGAAAGAGTAGCCTCAAGGACCAATCACATGGCTGCATGGACCCACCTGCCTTCTGTCCCGTCACTCTATAGACCACGTCAGCATGCTCCCAGCTGCCCGAGGACTCTGGAGCAAGGCAGGGGCTGACCAGCTCAGTGCTGCCCTCTACTACACACACACACACACACACACACACACACACACACACACAAATACAACTATTTCATTTTTACAGAATTTAATTATGTGAAAAGTCAGCAAGAGAAACAGTCAAGACAGACAGACAGACAGACAGGCAGCGGAGAGACAGACAGGCAGAGAGACAGCAGAGAGACAGACAAGACAGGCAGGCAGCAGAGAGACAGGCAGCAGAGAGACAGACAGGCAGCAGAGAGACAGACAGAGAGACAGACAGGCAGCAGAGAGACAGACAGGCAGCAGAGAGACAGACAGAGAGACAGACAGGCAGCAGAGAGACAGACAGAGAGACAGACAGGCAGCAGAGAGACAGACAGGCAGACAGACAGACAGAGGATCTGGGCTGCAGCTTCTTACAGCAGCTAAATCGTAGCAACAGCTGGCAGGCAAGGAATTAATCTTGCTGTTATTAAAAGATTAGATAATGGCTTATTTATCTGAGGGGACGCCAGGGTAGAGAGAGAGTGTGTGTGTGTGTGTGTGTGTGTGCATAAAGGCAAAGAGGATGGAGGTACGTACGTGGTGGAGCCTCGATGCCTCCTAACACGGAGAGACGAGCCGACATCAGACCCAGACCCAGATAACTGAGGAGCACACACACAGTGTGTATGTGTGTGTGTGTACACAGTGTGTATGGGAGAGTGTCTACCTGTGTGTGTGTGTGTGTACCTGTGTGTGTAAACAGTGTGCGTGCTGTTGAACATCCTGAAGGACCTGATGTGGTCGATGGGTGAAGTCTGGATGGTTTTCTGCTCAAACAAAGACAGCAGTCAGTTTACACACTTACACACACACACACACACATACAAATGTACTTATTGCTGTTGTTATATACACACAAGCACGGAATGAGAAGGTGTGTCCTGACTGCTACTGTAGATATATTATATATATATTATCTCTCTCTCTGACCTACATGTTGACGTGATGTTTGGGATTATTGAGGCTTTCCCAGATTAAATCCTCTAAAGATGGAGACTCATCCTGCAGTGAGACAGTGAGACTCCTCCTCCTCGCTCTACCTGCTCAGGTGACTCACAGCTTCCTGATTGGCTGAGCTCCTCACCTCGTCCTGAGGGCTGAAGGTTATCTGAGTGGACCCCCCTCCCAAATCCAGCATCCCCACTGTGGACGCGTCTGGACTGTGGAGATCACCTGGAGACAGAGAACTGCAGGTAACTGCAGGGAGACACACACACACACACACACACACACACACACACACACACACACAGGTGTGCTCCTACCTGTGAGGAAGTTCACAGTGATCCATGCAGAGATCCCTGAAGACACACAACATGTTCAGTTACTGCGTCACAACTAACAGCCAATCAGCAGCCAGAGCTTCCCCAGCATGCACTGGGTCACAAATCTACCCAGCATGCATTGTGGTTCCGATCAGTACCGTCTAGAGAAGTAGATAAACATTTAATATATGTGTATGTTTAATATGCATGTGAGTAAATATGTCATTATTAAAAACCCCAAAATGTGGAGCAGAACTCGTCTTCTTCTCAGAACAAAAGCGGTGAAGTGGGACCAGCAGAGTCCGAGGAACCAAGCACCGACTGTCGGTCCAGGCTCCACGGAGGCCCACTCTGAGCTGAGACCGGTGCAGGGAGGTCTGATAATGTGGAGAAGGACAGTCTTCACTAGTGGAACACCTCCTGCTGGACAGAGTCGCTATCTGAGCTCCGGCCTATTCAGGTCAGCTCAAAGACATTAGCGTGTGCCACTCAACCGCGGGCATTAGAGCCTTTTACCACCGACCTTTGACCCCCGGACACACGCAGCCGCGCTTCATTAGAGGCCTTGAGGGGGAACTGTATCATGGGAGCTTTAACAGAAAATTCCAAGAAGCTATTTGCAAAACAAACCAGGCTTTAGCACACCGAGGGGGGGGGGGGGGGGGCTCCTGAGGGGCAGCAGCCATCGGTCCATTAGAGGACAAGTTAATTCAGTCATCATGAAAAGACACTTATGGACGTAACGAGCTGATCCCACTCAGAGGGAAGGAGAAAACATTTCAGGGGGAGATAATCGCCCCCCTCAAGATTAAGTGGGACATTATCCCACGAGGCCATAATTGCTTGTATGAACTACTTTAAAAGGGATTGGATTAGAAGAGGAGGAGTTCAAAACACAGGACCTACATACATGTATAGAAATACACACACACGTGGGATTAGAGCAAGACCACATCGAGCTGAGTGCTTCACATCTGGATCCATATCACAATATCCAGTCACATGGTGTTGATTTTATACCATCTATAAAACAATGGATTCTAAATATCAAACGTGTTTTGGGTCCATGTGGAGTCTCTACGTGTAATAGATATGAACCTCATCCATCCGCAGTGCGCGGAGGCTGTTTCATGGCACGTCGATGATCGTGTAATCACGACTTTGTCTAGTTGGACTGGGAGTTGTGTGTAAAATCAGTGTGTGTGTTTCTGTTGAAGCGATAGATCAATATTACACGCAGAAAATGATGGAATTTTGCGATTTCCCCCAAATAATTCCATAAATCTAGACCAAATCCACATTGTGTGTAGACAGTACACAGTTTACTGCTACTCTACAGAGGGCTTTGAGAAGGCCGCATGGCAGACGAACGTCTGAGCCCAAACGCTTCCACGCCCTCATCTCCACGTCCGATCTCACTGAATACATCGGATGTGCACAAACGATCGACCGCTTCCCCAGAACAACGGCAGAGCGTCAATTGAAGTCGAGATCTTTCATTGGCTCTGAAAGATCCTACCAGTTGTCGTCATTTCACCGCGACACAGCAGGAAGTAACACGGCGCGCGCCGTAGCTCATTGCATCGAAGTTAAGACACATTCAGGATTATTGCCCAGCACTAATAATTCACAACGGATACTTAGTTTATAGGAGCAAAAAGAATACCTGGTCTTACCTTCGTCGGTGCCGTCCATGACGGACACGCTGTCGTCTCTGGACAGAAAGGGGGAGTCGGTAAACAGCGCCCTCACCTGGACACAGAGGGAGGCACAGCCAGCTCAGCACCACTTCTTTACTGCATATATACCGTGTGTGTATATATATACACATACTGCATATATACCGTGTGTGTATATATATACATACTGCATATATACCGTATACACCGACTACGGCATGCATTTGCTGTGGCATTGTTTCGATAAGCTTCTGCAATGTCACAAGGTTTATTTCCATCCAGTGTTGCATTGACTCTCTTGTATTGATGGTGGTAGTTTATTCTCCTCCAGCACATCCCAAAGATTCTCCATGGGGTTGAGGTCTGGACTCATGCTCGTGCTCCCTGAACCAGTCTTTCACCATTTGAGCCCGATGAGTCCTGGGATTGTCATCTTGGAATACGCCCGTGCCATCAGGGAAGAAGAAATCCATTGATGGAATAACCTGGTCACTGAGTATGTTCAGGTAGTCAGCTGACCTCTTTGAGCACAAACTGTTGCTGCCCACGCAGTAAGTATCCAATAGGAGGCTCGTACCTATTTGCTTAGTAAAATCCAGGTGGTGACTTTTTTTATATATATATATATATATATATATATATATATAAAGTAAAACCCAGAAAGAAGAAGTGGTGTCATTTTTAACGACACTCGATCTGGCATAGTTTTTGTTTGATTTTTCTACTGTATTCACAATTTAACATACATTTTAGTTCATTTTAGTCATTTAACAGTGTTGTTCAATTTAACCACCAACCATTCTTCTGTTTTAATTCTACTGCAACGCTTCGTCCCGGATTTCAACTGCTACCGTGTACTCCCTGCACAACTAGCTGGCTGTCGCTCGCTATCTGCCGCTGACGTGCCCGTCACTTCTCCGGTCAAAGAGTCCCTGGCTACCGCCAAAGCCCTTCAGGCTTATCATTACATCCTCCCCGGCTGGCATGGTTCTGCAATACTCCACTTCTCTGCTCCTTACTTCATCTCAGCCATCAAAACACCCCTCGGCCGTCAATTTACCACCCCCCGAAACCAAACCCTGCTTTCCCCTGATCTGTCTGAATTTCTTACACAAACTATGCGCCATCTCTCCATCCATTCAGCTACTCTGTGACTTTAACATACATGTTGACTCATCCGATTCCACAACTTCTACAGAACTCTTGGACACCTTTAACTACTTCAGCACAACATTCCACTCATAAAAAAGGACACACACTTGACCTGGTCGGCACCTCCGGCATTACCATCAGCAATCTAACCAGCATCGACCTCAGCATCTCTGACCACCCGGCTACCACCTCGGACTCCCCACCCCATGTCAACAGTCCATCAACCCATCGCTCTCCTCCACCATGGCTGCCTACGCCCCTATTCCAACCGCCTCCCCCACTATCCTGGTTAATTACTTAATCCAAACTCGCCTCCTTCACCCACTCCGCCCCCTGGTATGCTGACCAACTTTGCCACCTCAAAGTGCAGGTCCGGAACATCATACCAACTCCACCAACAACGGTACAAAGATGCCCTCAACACCACTCGTTCCTTGCTCCATCTGCCAATCTGGCTTAAACTACCCCAAAATGCTTTTCTCCACCATCAACAAACTCCTGTAGCCCATGGAGCACCTCCTTCATCAGCAAATGCTCATTTCTTCAATTATAAAACAGCACAGAAACCCCTCCACTGAAAACCACAAATGACATACTGCTGACTCTGACTTCCTCACCATCCTCATCCCCTTTGGCCTTCGACACGATCAACCACTACATCCTCCTCTCACGTCTGCTGTACTCCCTTGGCATAACTGGCACTGCCCTCTCCTGGTTCACCTCATGTCACTCAGACCAACATCAATTCATTGCCATGAACAACTGTAAATCCTCCACCTCCTCAGTCACCCACGGTGTCCCCCAAGGTTCTGTGCTTGGTCCCCTCCTCTTCATCATTTACATCGTTTCCTTGGACAAATCACCTGTTGTCATGGTCTTGATTTCCACTGCTACGCTGATGTGACCCAACTCTCCTCCAAGACCCTCACCGCAAGTCACCCACTCCACTCTCACTGCCGGTCTCACAGACATAAAATCAGCTCATGGATATAACAGAACTTTCTCAAAATCAACTGCAATAAATCTGAAATGAAATCTTTTGTCATCACCAAAATACTCATCCATGCCCTCTTGACCTCCAGACTCGACTGCTGCACCAGCATCTCTACGGCCCCCCAACAAAATCCTCAACCAACTGCAATATGTTCAGAACTCTGCCGCTGGACTGCTCACATCCACCGCCGCTATGAACACATCACCCGGTCCTACGCAACCTCCACTGGCTCCTGGTCAATTACTGGATAGACTTCAAAATATTACTCAACATCTACAAAACCTCTCAGACCTCCTCCCCCTCCACGCCCCAACCGTTCAGGATCGCCGATGCAAACACCATGAAGACCATCAGGACCAAGCGCCGGACCTTGGGTGAGCCTTCTCAGCTCTGTGTATGTTTTGATGAATTGTTCATATATTTGGAGGCAAACATTTGAAATAAAAATGACTTTTCGCTGGTACTGTATCTTAATACATTTGTACTTTGGCAAAAGCTAAACTTACATGAAGGGAAATCACATCATATTTTAGATAATTTATTCACAATATTTTGTCACAGCTTTCAGGTATTTTGTTGGTAACTTCCATAGATGTTTTTCTTATATAATTTGTGTCTAAAGACGTGAGAAGCTTTGAATTTGTCTGTGTCAATGTGTCATCCTATTTATAATAATATGATATCCCGTCTCTGTGTAATCAGATCTGTGTTCGGGTGATTCAGGAACAGCAGAGCTTCAGATTAAATGGCGGCTGGAGTCATTACCGATTACTTAAAAGCTTTATCAGACTCTGATGAGGACGGAGGACCTCCTCCTCTTTGTCATTAGCATTGGCCTCTGAAAATATCTATGATAACAAGTGAAGAAAACCTTCCAATTGTGTGAATGGCCTGAAATAAAATAACTAACAGCCCTCTAAGTCCTATAAAAGATGGAGATATCGATCGCCAGGGACGGCCCAGTTGTGGACAGTACACGGGTAAAGTTTCACGTTGATAAGCGTCAGCATTACTTCTCTAGAGGAGGCTTTTGTGAAGGCCTCACGGCAAAATGTGGATGTGCTCCACCGTGGCTGTGATTGGCCGATCCGACCGTTTGAAAATGATACTTAAATCAGCGTCGTCTCAGTTGGTCTCAGTGCCGTTTCTTTTGTCAGCGTGTGGCTTTGTGAGGAAATGTTACAAATGCACCGCTGTGTGCACATTTCTGGACTAGTTTGCTTAAGTTATAACTTTTTGGAGTTGTGTTTGAGTATTCTCAAACGGATTAGTGCAGATTGTAGCAAAGACACTAATACTTCAAACAATGTGAAGCATTATATATTTGTTTGTGGTGATTTACACGATATTCCTGTATCCAATTGGGACACGTCACGAAGGAAAAGGCACACGTTTATCATCGTATTATTTCATTCAAAATGTATAGAATTCAAAGTTATTTTTACTTCTAATTCTATATAATATATAGAAATATATATATATTGTATTTTTTTTTTCATTCATTATTTGGTTTAATTAAATATTTTGTGCCTGTCTCTCTTTCTGAGTGTGTGTGAATGTCCCTGTGTCTCACCGTGTCCAGCAGATGCTTGGCCTTCGCTCCATCCAGCAGTCGGAGGCCGGCGGTGGCTTTCAGGACTACAGGGGTGAGGGTCCAGCTGGAGGGGGGGATGCTGGATTCGGCCACCTTCAGGAGCTCCGTGAGTCCTGCTGCACACTGGAGGGGACGAACTGTTAGTGATAAACAGATGATGACAGCCTTAAAGAATATCAGGTTTTATTAGTGGTGAAATAAGGCATCGTTATTCTGTACCCCCCTAAACTAAATACACATTTAGTGTGATTATTAACAAACTATGCATTTAGCTACATATACATTAGTCTGATTAGAAACATAAACAAATGTGTAATATGCCGCTACAGTGGTTGTTGATGTTCTACTGACTTTAGAGTAGTTTAAATGAGTTTTAGGAGGATGGATTCTCGTAGAACAGCCGTTACCATCAAACAGTAACACGTATTGGTCTGTATTTCTGAGGAGCAGAACCAGCAGCGTGAGTAGAACCCACCTCCTCCGGGTGGTCAGCATACGCGGACAGACCCGGTTCGATGGCTCTGAACGTCTCATGGGCCAGTTTGGGAGCTTCTGCAGGAGAAAAATAAATGAAAAGGGGACACATTAAACATTAGCTTTAGCATTAAGAGATAATAACGAGGAAAGAAAGGCAATGAGATTTCTACATCAGCGTTGACTCAGCTGGCTGACCCTGGACCTGTGCCTACATTTGAGCTGTCGTTAAGCTCCTAATGACAATCCCCGTCCGTATAACTAACAGGTGCTGCCATTAGGCCGGTTAGCAGCCATGCTAACAAAGGAGCCAAAACAGCACTCAGCTGGTGTGATTTAGCTTAGCAGCTAAATGCGATAACGAAGGCATTTGGCCCAGCTTTGCAGGAAACTTTCTTTAAGCCTAATAAACCACAGGAGCACTGAAAGCCACTAATGACTGAGAGGAGACTCACATCTAGTAATTAATGTTTAAATACCCTAAAAGCAGTCAGCTTTAATCTGAGAGGATCCATACCAACACATTTGGAATCAAACTCAGCGAGATTTAACCTCCAAATATCACGTTTCCATATCAGCCTCGGCTCCAAAAATATGAACACATGATCCGAGTGTTCGTACCTGAAATAGTTAGGGAGACAACTAGGCTTCCCAGAATGCATTGGTGCACCACAACTCCATTTAAATATCCATCAATTTAATTGTGGAGTGGCGTTTGGTGTGAGATGACAGCATCACTCATCAGTGGTCTCCTCCATGCAGATGGATAGGAAGTAACCAGATATCTGAACGGCGTTTGGAGGGCTGACCGCTCACATTTCCTACTGTCGTACCATTGCGCTCCATCTGGAACTCAAAGACGTGGATCCTCGTCCCAGTGCTCCCAGCATCAAACATGATGCCGAACTGGGAGTTGCGACCGGGGGCGACAGCCAGCTTGGCGGGGCCGCGCTGGGGAGGGGGGGGCGCTCGGTAGGCATCGGGCTCCGAGGCGCCGTAGTGGCGCTTCATGAACATCAGGTAAGCGAGAAGGACACCCAGCAGGAGGAGGACTACCGCCAGCTTTGGTCGCTTCATTGCGATTCATCCCGAGGACTCCATCCTAGTGCTGCAGGGTCAGAGAAAATACTTCACTGCACTTCTTTGAAAACCACCTCATGAGAAAGAGACCTTTCAATCCGCCCAGTGGCGGCCGGCCTGTGGATGTCCGACCACACGCACACTGACCTCAAGTCGGGCCGGAGTTTAGTCCGGATTCACGCGAGCTGCTGCGATAAGAAAGGAGCTGCTCCTACAGCAGTAAACATGAAGCTTATTCACACAATGTGTTCAAAGCGGGACTTAACGTTCAAACAGAAACAGAAGCGCGGCTCCGGTCACATCACATCACATCACACGTCATTTATCTGACGCTTTTATCCAAAGCGACTTACAACAAGTACATTTCAACCATAAGGAAACAAACCCAGAAGGACAAGAAACAAGAAAGTGTGATTTCATCAAATTGTTAGCAGCTAAATACGCTAGGCAGCGTTCAATTTATTTTAAGTTTGGTGTGGATTTAGTTACCATAGCAACAAGTTCACGTCGACTGTTTTATGACTGCAGGTTCGGCTCCACTTGGGCTGTTAGACGAGCTAACGAAGTGCATAAATATTCATCAACAATGTTAAACGTTATGTTAAACGAGCAAGTTAGCGTGAGTGATCAGCTAATTAGCAGCATGCTAATACTTAGTTAGTTAGCTCAGCTAACTTAGCTGTAACCTGAGAAACAGGTAAGTTAACAGCCTAGCCGGTTAGCATAGTAGTAAGCTAGCATCGTGCTAACACTTTTCTTCCTGGGAATGAACAGTAACAGACGTTTATTTGCGTACCGAGTCCAACCCGGCGGCGTCAGCTCCGTCACTTCTGTCTTAAATCGCTCTCTGCCGAACTCTGCCGAACTCCACTGCAACGCAAGGGCGCTGCGTGATGACGTCACAGTCAACAAAGCTGGTGACGTGGACGCAACACGAGAGACATTACATTATTATTAGTGCTGGCAAAGATGACAACTTGTAACTCAATGAATGTCTGTTACCAGGCTCCCTGTTAGTGAGTAAAGTGGACCAGATTTCCTTTGAATCTCAGTCAAAGAAAAAGAAACATCAGTGACGCAGGTTGAGCACTTACACAATGACAAAATTAATTTGTAACCTCCACTTATTTATCCATTCCTCCAACCTTACATTATCTTACTGCTGGGTGCAGGAGACACAAGGTCATTTACGTTTTAGATGATGAAGAACTGTGAGTCTGCATGTCTCAGTGAGACACCTGGTGCTTGTAAGCAATATTTACTTAACAATATTAAGACTTAAAGATAGAGGGAACTTAAAGCCGATCGATGCTACAGCAACTTTGAACAAAACTGATGATGACCAGAGGGATTTTAACTATTACTGCCATCATATACATCTGATAGTTGTTACATCTGATGGTTGTTACATCTGATGGTTGTTACATCTGATGGTTGTTACATCTGATGGAGGTTACATCTGATGGTTGTTACATCTGATGGTTGTTACATCCGATGGTTGTTACATCTGATGGAGGTTACATCTGATGGTTGTTACATCTGATGGTTGTTACATCTGATGGAGGTTACATCTGATGGAGGTTACATCTGATGGAGGTTACATCTGATGGAGGTTACATCTGATGGTTGTTACATCCGATGGTTGTTACATCTGATGGTTGTTACATCTGATGGAGGTTACATCCGATGGTTGTTACATCTGATGGTTGTTACATCTGATGGTTGTTACATCTGATGGTTGTTACATCTGATGGTTGTTACATCTGATGGAGGTTACATCTGATGGTTGTTACATCTGATGGAGGTTACATCTGATGGTTGTTACATCTGATGGTTGTTACATCTGATGGAGGTTACATCTGATGGTGGTTACATCTGATGGTTGTTACATCTGATGGAGGTTACATCTGATGGTTGTTACATCTGATGGATGTTACATCTGATGGAGGTTACATCTGATGGAGGTTACATCTGATGGAGGTTACATCTGATGGTTGTTACATCTGATGGTTGTTACATCTGATGGAGGTTACATCTGATGGTTGTTACATCTGATGGTTGTTACATCTGATGGTGGAATTTTAAGATTATTTTACTTACTTTACTTATTTAACAAATTTGACTATCATTGAATGTGCCATTGACCATCTTTCAACCTTTATTTTGTTAATTTTACAGAATAAAAAAACAGGTCAGAAATATAATAATATAGTGGGATGATTGTGAAACGTGCTGTCCTCCAGAGGATAAACCCCATGAAGGGTCAGTCATCATTTATCAGTTTATTCATGCCTCTGAATCCATCTCCTCTCCCTGCCGCTCTCACCTCCTGCTTCTTCTCCCGCTAATGGAGGTTAATGGTTCAGTAATCTGTGTTGAGGGACTTTAAGGTCACAGATTCACATACAAATGACATTTAGAAACAATTACATCCAATTGAGTCAATAATGAGCTATTAATCGACACAGAAAGAATATGTATTGAAGAAATCATGATTATAATTTCATAATTCCCTTTCACATATCAGTCATTAAATATTAGAGACATTTTTACTGTATGTATATATATCATATATATTTATTTATATGATTTATGAATATTCATGATCAATCAAACTGATGAATGAATATCAATAAATTGTCATATTGGAATGTTAAATGATGATTACAGATGTATAGATTTATGAGAAGTGACGTGAAGGTGCAGAGTACGAGGTCATGTGACCTGTGTATCTGGGTCATGTGACCATGTATCTGGGTCATGTGATCCCATCAGGAGGATTATGAGGGAATCATTGGAGGGATTTCTGCAGGATATTATTCAGTATGTTTGGATCATAATTGATGGAAGATTCCACTTTCATCTTGTAAGACGTGCGCGTGGATTACGAGGCGGGGAACATCTGGACCGAGCTGCCTTATTTAAACTTATTCACCAGCTGTGATTATGTGACGACACGCTGTCACAGCTCTCACTGAGACGTGTGTGATGTCACGGTGCAACACGTTGGACCCAATAACAACAAACAATACATGATAAACAATCAATATGAATAATAACCAATCAATAATAACAATCATGAATCATAAAGCTGGAACCCTTGCATGTCGGGGGGGCAGCGGTCAAAAAAAAAAGAAATCCCAATAGATGGATTGGAACGGGCGTCTGGCTAAACAGAACAACTCACCAGCTGATACACCACCGTTGCTAAACACAATCATTAACTTGTGAAGTACATGCCGTTGTGATTGAGTAGCGGTCTGCCACATGTCTTGTCTCTGCATGCCGAAGACAGCAGCATTTAAACATGTATGACACGTGTCTAGAAAGTGCGAAAAATAGAGGGAATATTCACAAAAGAAATGAGAACTGACTTGCTGTTCATTTTAGAGCGTGATGCCAGGAGACTTATTTTAAGTCTGCCTATCATACATATGTCCAAGAATCGTCATGTATGTAGGTCAAACAGGACGCTGGGGCTACTTCGGGGGGCGCTATGGAGGCAATTTACCACTTCTGAGTCAACTTCTGAGCTCTTTAATGTCATCCACTCGGACACTGACAGAAGAGGCTTTGAGTTTGCCAAAGCACTGAAATATCTGCTTGACCTTTCATGCGAAGACCGCGTTGTCACGGCAACAACGTTATTCAAAAACTCCCAATATTCATCATCATCATCAAAGTCTTAAGGCTTTATTTAATGCACACATTTAAAGGTCGATAAGATCAAATGGCTCAATAGCTCATCAAAGTGTGAAACCTTTTCCTTATGCCAATATATTTGTTTCACTGCATGGGAACACTTTAAGGCCAACCCAAGCCTCACCCTATCATCAATAGGACATTTTGGGGAGAAATTTGAATGTTCCCTGGAGTTATAACATTTTACATTTTCAAGAAGATCGACGGAAATCGGCCAAACTGGATGCCAGGCCACGGCCAGGTAGCTGCACAAAAACACAGGTGTCAGGGTCAATTTGCCCGAATTTGAAATTGTTCGTATTTAAACTCTCTAAAATACAGAGAAGGACTGCAGCCCCTTAATGTTCAAATATTGTGAAAGAATTAGCGTATGCTAACGGACTCAATGTGGCGAGAGGGTTGGTGAGGACAGGCCAATTACTTTTGAAGTTATGGGTCTGTAACTATTAGGCCACACCCCTTACAAACCTCATTGTTCCATAACTTTGATAAATAATGAGATATCAACAAGCTTTTGATAACTTTACTCCCTAGAAACTTTGAACTTTGAAGAATCGGACAGCGTCTGGGAGGAATTAGCAAAAACGTGTTTTTCACAAAATTCAAAATGGCGGAAGATCTACTACTACTGCACACATGATGACACTTTGTAGAGCATGTCCAAGAGCACCTGTGTGAATAATTCAATCAGTGAAATAGGGCAACAACGTCCCCAGACGGAGCACTTCCAGGGGGCGCTAGAGAGCCATTTCTTTATCCCCAAATGTCTCACACTTGCTCACGCCAAAATTCAAAAGTGCATTTAAAGTGAAGAAAGAATAAGAATAAGAATTCTTCGAAACACAACAGGCTTTGTTTTTTTGTTTCCTAATTGAAGGATTTTAAGATCCAAAAGAAAAAAGAGACAAAGACGAAAAGAGAAACATTTTTAAAAGATGAAAGCAGAAGCTTTTGGGGTTTGTGAGATTAACTGAAGAAATATTCTGAGTAATTGGGGTCATGATAACATTCTATAAAACCATCAGAGCTTCTAAACCAATAAAGGAGAGTGAATCTGCCGGTTTAATTTCGGAGGAAAAAATCAACGAGGACAAAAAGGAAAAGAAATGATGATTACTGTTATAGGATTATTTACATTGCCCTCAACATGATTGAGCTGCTCAAATGAAATTAAAATGTGTGTTGAATGGGATTTTCCAGGAAAGTCCCGTAAAAACCACGACGGTAATAAGGAATGACTAATTCCCCCAAAGTCGATTAAACACCATCTCATCCCGCAGGAAAACAGAACAAATAAGATCTGGATTAGACAACTGTGGGTACATTAAGAGGCAGCTTAGAGGGTTTCCATCCATTATTTTCATTATTATTTGGCGTGTTCTTGTGCTGAGGGCTTAACTCCGCTGGTTAGTCCAGAAAACAAGCCATTAGGGACAGAAATAAACCTGCGGGACACTTTCAGGAAGCAGGATTAGTTCAGGAATACAGATACTTCACAATACCTCCAACAAAGAAATATTGAAGTCACAATGTGTCTCCTCTCCAGTTTAAATACTGTATATGAGGCATTATGAAAGACCAGTGGACCCGGGTTGCTTCCCTGGGGGACCCCGATCCTTCAGGACGGAGGTACTAAAAAGCGTCTTCGTCAGATCTGGTTCGTTCGCTCTTGAAATGACCATCATGAGTGCAGTCATGGAGCATTATGTGATTTACCAAATATTATACAACCACTTCCAGTGAATCCTGGTTCACACCAGCCAGCGCTATCAGGTGGTTGTTTGTTGTCTATTACAGGAAGCGATGACACATAACAAACACCAGTGTTCCGCCGTGATGACATCACAGGGTCTCTAGTGTTTCTCCAGAGAGGAGGTTCATATTAGACCACTTTCCAAGACCACGGTTCATGAAACACTCCTCTGAAACGTAGGCGACCTGCTCCGACCAGGAGGAGGGAAGGCGAGATGAGAGACATCGTAACGTTGTCTCCATGTCTTGGTAAATCCGCCCAGCTGGCCATTAGATTGGGACTGGTACCATGAAGAGAGACTGGCTG